TTCCTTTTATGGGACCTTTTTGACCTCATGTTTGACTGATATGTATCTGTGGAAGTTATGAGTGTCTTGTGCCTGGAATCCTTTCTGCATAACTCCAAATCAAATAGGTTTTTGGGCTCTTTGCATGAGACTCTCATGTCCAAGTGTACCCTTGCTGCTAGCCCAAGAGGTCATCCTGCCTACTGCAGTGGTGATGCTTGTGTGTGCTCTTCGAACAGACCTATTTTTTACACTTATTTGCCACTCTTTTTTTCTGTTGTAGTTTTTAACTCATCTTTTATTCTATCCTTACATTTCAAAAAATGAATTGTGGCTGTCAGAAGAAAAAGCCTTACTTATCAATAAATGAAACTGGCTGCCATAAGCCTCCTTTGCTACAATAAAAGCTTAGTCCAGTTGGCCCTCTCGTGTGCTGTCATGACTGATCAAGAGGCTATTTTACTTGATGGATGGGTTTGGCAATCATAGGTCAGCACAAAGCATCACAACCTGTCCGAGTGTAAAGTTCACAGACAGTTGTGGGTGGATGGCAATACCAGTTCCAGTAGTGCTGATCAAAGTCTCTGCAAAGCTGGGAGAGGCAGCATGACCTGGTCCACCTTGATGAACTAGAGTAGACTGGAGAGGAAAGAGCGAAGGGAGAGAAAGGGGCAGACAGGCATTAGGGTAAAATGCTTAGAAAGGGAGATGTGTTGCAAACGGAATGGCATGGCCCCAGATACGTACGGTTTTCTCCCCTTGTCTTGCTTTCAGTGTTTGTATGGAGTGTACATCAGTGGACTTAAATGTTGCTGTTTGGTTTTTTTGTTTTATTTTATTTTGAGATAGGGTCACACTGTGTAGTGCAGGCTAGCGTTGAACTCACTATTTAGCCCAGGCTTGCCTTGAGCTTGCAGTGATCCTCCTGCCTCAGCCTCCCAAGTGTAGGCATTACAGGTATGCGCCACCATAAGCTGCTTGTTGCTGTGTTTGGAGACAAAAGTACCCGACATGTTTTCATCTTTCAGGCATCAATAACACTGGCATCCCTCCTAAGATGAGGCTCTTAACAGGGCCTTCTGTGGTCATGCACACTGTCTAGGATGTCACTTGCCCCCAGGCCCCTCCCTGTCTCCTTAGCTCACCTGGAGAAGCCACGTGGGCCTGATGGCTCTCAGAGAGGATGCCACACCCACACAGTGCAGCTGTCTGTGTCTCTGTACAGCCACGGTGAAATTCTCCGCGTGCACATAGCCAATCCCAGGCGCCCCCTGATGTGATGCCCTGCCTAGTAACTCCCCACTCCGCCCGAGAAGAGGGAAAATGAGAATGTCTATTGGGCTGGGATGTGCTTCCCTCCTCTGTGCTGTTGACAGCAGACCGGGCAATGTCCCAGGAGCCTTCAGGAGCCTGCTGGGCAAGCACCCCACCTCCTCCTGGCCTTCATGTCACCATCTGTGCCCAGCATCACCACCACACATCCCTCACCCCTGAGGGCACGAGGGGGTAGAGAAGGAGTCCACCCTGCCTCCTGCCTCACCTCTGCAAGGGCCTGGGTCCCTGAGGCTGCACACCAAGGGGGGGTCCACACTGCAATAGGCCTGTCTTTAGGCCAGTTGGTACAACTTCTCAACATAATCTTGAGGTCAAGCCCCAGAAATCCCAGGCTTTGTAACTGCAGAGTGCAAATCTATCAGTTCACGTCTTCCATGGAAATCACTGGGGACAAAAGTATTCAAAAATAGTCGAAGGTTTCAGTGACCACCCCAGGCAAGCTGAACCCCACAGAAAACACAAAGACTTGCCTTGGCTTTCTCCGTAGACCTGGTGTGCGCGTGCATGTGTGTGTGTGTGCATGCATGTGTGTGTCCACAGCATCCACCAAGACCAGCTTTCTCTGTAACAGCAGAGGGCTGGGAAGAGCAGCCAGGAGGCAGCTTCCATACCAACTTTACACAAATGTTAAATTAAAAATGGCCCAGCCCAGGCTCTGCCTGCAACTGGCAGATACCTCCCTGTCTCCCTGTCTCTGGTCATTACTGTGGCTGGTGCCACCTACAGATGCCAGGCCTGTGGGTTTCCCTTGTCTGTCCTCACTTCCTGCCAGCTTCCTGGGCACTGCTCAGGCTGCATGTCCATGGCACCAGCCACATCTGCCAGTTACCTGACCTGAAGAGCGTGTATGCACAGCTAGGTGGCCAGAGGGAATTGCGGGCAGCACGTGTTCCATAGGAGAGTCTCAGTGATGTTGAGCCTTTGCGGGAATTGTCTTCCAAGATCAAGAGATGGTCTCCATCTCCTCCTGTCTTGGTGCCCTTTGTGCGGTGCTTGCTGTGAACTGTAAAGCCTGTAAGGTGCAGCATTGTCTAGTTGCAGCTGAGTGATTACTCTAGTGAGTGCCACCAAGTCAAGAAGCAAAATATTGAGTAACCCAAGGGGCTGAAGATGCTTCCCACCCCACATCCGTCCTTCTGGAAGAGGCCACTTTAGACTCATGTGGTCGTTGTGCCCTGGCATGTTTTGGCTTTTGTTTTGTATTTTTGTGTTTCGCTTTAACTTTACCACCTAGTTGTGCATCTCTGAACTCAATCATTTGCCCATTTGGGGACTTCGTGTATGTGGGACCATGGAATATATTTTCTGTCAGCGAAACTTTGTGTAACTGTCATTGCTTTCATTTTGTTGCTTTAGCATATTCTGTTTAATGAGTAGATTTATGGTATGATTTATTTACTCACTCTATAGTCAGTGAATATTTAGGTTGCATGCAGTTTTTGATAAGCACAGATAAAACCACTAAAAAATCCCAGCATGTGTTCTGGGGCATACAGTGCACACAGTTTTTAATACCTGCAGGTGGGGTTATTGATGCAAGAAGTCATCCCAAACTGCCCTCCAATGTGATCGCATCAGCTGATCTGTCAGCAGCAATGTGAGGGCTCCTGTTGGTCACCATTCTCAGCAGCACTTAGAGTTCTCAGTCTTTAGATCTCTGCCAGTGTGAACACACATTACTGTCACTGCCACATCTCTGAGGTGGACTGCACCACCTTCATGGGTAATCTGTGATTCTCCATGTTAGTTTTTGCTTGTTGTTGACATTTATTTACTCATTTATTTAAGAACCAAGGCCTTAGTATGTTGCCCAGGATAGCCTTGATCTGCTAGGCTCAAGTGATCCTGCCTCAGCCTCCCACTTACCTGGGACTACATGTATGCACTGTCAGGCACAGATTCCACGTCAGTGTTAACAAGAAAAAAATCAGTCTCCTTTATGGTAAGGTGGATTGGTGCATAACGGACATGGACTTAAGAGAGCAGAGTTCATACCCCACTTATTATCTCTATGACCTTCAAGTCTCAGACATGAAGGGCTCTACATAATGGAAAACAACATTTTTGTGTGGCCTCTGGTCATCCTGCTCCAAATTTATAGGCACATGCATAAATTCTTAACAGTTTGTTATTTATATAGTTCTTTATACACCAAAACTATTCTGTGGGTCACTGGTATTTATAAGATAAAGTAAGCATAGATAACCCCATATTATAAAATAGCTTCCCCATAAAATAGATTCAGTTCTCTATTTACATAAAAATATGTTTTATTATGTGGTCTGGGTTTTTTCTGGTTTACTGGTAACCAGCTCTGGCTGTCACTGGCCATGTGACCATGACAGTGGAGTTCACACTTCAGGGTGATGGTGCCTTGGGTGGTTGGGAGGATGTGCTGTTTTCATAGTGGGGAAGTTTCACAGTAGCCACTTGCTGGGCCCACAAGGGTCTGGGTATGTATCTTCCACCTTAGCCAGCTGCCCTGAGCAGCTGTGTGCAGGGAAGCCGGCCACTGTGCCTGGCCAAGCACCAGTTGAAAAGAAACTCATTTTTAAAGTTCCAGCCTCCTACGCCACAGTTCAGCTTTTAAATCTTGGGCAAGCTTTCTGAGATGAGTCTACACGGTGGTGAGCAGGGAAAGGGAAGTGTGGCCACGTCCGGTACCAAAGCCTATCTCACTTTTGTGTACCCATAGCTGTGACCCCTGGGGACCCAGCAGAAGTAGCAGAAATCCCCCAGTACACATAAGTGGGGTCACAGTTGAGCTCTTTCCAAGCAAGGAGGAAGGATTGCTTAATGCTCAGGGACCTCAGCTTCCTCATTTCTGCAAAGACCAGGGATAGAGAGGCTTCCTTGTCACTCACCCTTGCTCCAGCCTCTGACCAGAAAGGCAGGTGATGATGGAGATTATGCCACCTTGAGCCCTTTCAGCCCCAGCGGGACTGCGTCCTCCCCAGACCCTGCAGATCTTCCTGGCAGCCCTCATGCTCCCACAGTCAGGAGTGGCCCTTACAGAGGCACAGTAGGTGTGTTCCTCTGCTGCCACCAACTCTTCAGTTCACCAGGATGTAGGGCAGGGGTGGCACTGAAGGTCACCAGGAATGATCATGGCAGTGGAGCCTCTGGGCCCCAGTGCTGTCTCCTCACCCCACAGTGATGACGTTTTCTTCTTGGGGACTTTGCCTGACGGTGTCATGGGCATGTTAAATCTTGACCCTGCTCCTGTGGTGGACACAGGGGAAAGCAGTGAAGAGGGCCCTGGGGAGGAGAGCTGACACATCCCTCCCTCGGCACACCAGAGGACCCTGACTAACCTGAGACCCAGATACCACCAACTGGCCTCCAGGGACACAGCTGGCAGGTGTGACCTAGACCCAGATGATGAGGCCCCGGGGCTCCACAGTGCCCCTTGCCCTGCGCCACCCTGCTGCCCACTGAGCCCTCGGCCCCTGTTCCCCTTCAGGCCTGCTGGGGTTTAGCCATGGTCCATCCCAACCTATCAGCACTTCCCAATGGGAGCTTGCTGGTTTTGACCCTACCTGAGACCACACGGTGGGTGCAGCCTGTAGACTGCCTCCCCCACCAAAGGGTCCCCAGGCATCTGCCAACCTCAGGCAAGGCCTCCTGCTAGACCCCTGTTCAGGACTGGCCCATGCAGGGTGATGTCGCTGTGTCCTCTCTTCTAGGATCAGGGCCAGAGACAACAATGGCTCCTATGCCCTTTGCCTGTTGCATGAAGGTAAGGTGCTGCACTATCGCATCGACAAAGACAAGACGGGGAAGCTGTCCATCCCTGAGGGAAAGAAGTTCGACACACTTTGGCAGGTACATGTTCTCTACCTCTCCACCTCTCAGGCACAGCAGAGGCCCGTGGAGCTGCCTGGTCCATTGACCCTTAGAAGACCTTCCATTTTTTATATGCATGATCACATTGGTTTTTCTGGACAACACAGTAGGGTATCTTTAAGCCCTAATCCAATTTCAGAGCTCCAGTACAATTTTTCTGAGAGCTACTAATCACTGCACTCTGGTTTTATTCTTTACTTTACTCAGGAATCTGAAAATCCTTAGGCCAAATCTGGCTTGGGGCATATCCTTGTGCAGTCTTTGAAGAGAGTGGTTCAAATGCTTTTAAACCTATGTTTTGAATGAACGAATGAATGAATGAATGAACAAACAACGAAGTGGCAGAGCTGGTATATGGTCTCCAAAAGCCTAAAATATCCCTTGTGGACATTTATGAAACTGTTTGCTGGCCCCTTGCCAAGGACATCTGTGGCTGTGCTCCAGTCTCCCCAGCTTCCCTGGGCGGTGGACTGCATGGAAGCATCAGATTTAAGTTTCCTTGGGTCACTTGAAAGCCCAACGCTATTTTCCCATCTCTTGCCTCATTACTTACCATATTTCTTCTCTTTCAGCTGGTGGAGCATTACTCGTACAAGCCGGATGGTTTGTTAAGAGTTCTTACAGTTCCATGTCAAAAAATTGGCACACAGGCCGGTGAGTGATGAAGGCATCTGAATGTCTGTTTTTTAGATACTAGTCACAGTCAGCCTTGTTCCAGATTTGGTGCATTCCAAATTCAGGTTAAATGAGACCTTGTTCTTACAAAAAGACTAAATGGGTTGTCAGAGCATTCGAATTTTAGGTATCACAAATCAAAAACCAGTCAATCACTTCTGAGAAACTAATTCATGGCTGAAAAAGCTACTGAAAGAGGTTGAAAAGAAAGGGGTACAGAAAGTGTGTACTCTTCTCAGGCAGCAGTGTTACAATCATACCCATTGTTCTGCAGTAGAAAAGGGGCTAAGTAAGTGGTGCTTGCTAAGACAGTAATTGTTCAGACCCTTTCTAACCAGGAAATATTACTTTTGCAGCTCATCCACAAAGTTCCAGTATTGCGGTAAGTATCATCACAAATACCACTGGTGCTGAAGCAGTTATGAATTCTCACAAATTCAAAGCAGACTAAGCTAACAGGGTAGCAGTGCTGTTTTGATGGCACTTGAGAATATCCCCCTTGATCAACTGGGAATTCTAGTGAGATTAGGTACACTCAGCCTGTTGTGGGCACTAAGCTAGCCAAGTATTCTTAATTTCTTGGCTACATTAAATTCCCCTCATTTTCTAAAAGTGTTAAAAATGAGGAGTGAATCCAATGCTAAATCAGGAACAGGCCTCCCACCAGATCTGGAAAATGAGAGCATTTCCTCCCATTCAGCCTTGGACTGTGTGTGGTAATACTTGGGCACTAGCGCCCCCCACCCCTTGCAGTGCATCACAAGCCAGGTAGATAAGATGTCTGCCTGAGGTTGTCTGACCAACTCCTGGCTTAACAACTGACACATCATTGCCAAGGAACTTGACCTTTCTGGATAAACTGGGTTAACTAGAACTTAGGACACTTGGAGAGACCCTAGATGCGAGGAAGCCCTGAAGAAGGATGGAGTGTGGAGGCGTGGCCAAAGCCCACATCCCGCTGCATTAGGAGGCAGTGAGACTGTGCCCACACACTTCTCTCTGTGGATGACAGGAAAGCCTCCCTTCTCCCTCTAGCCTAGTAGGAGGCAACACATAGATTAATATTCAAGGCAGGAATTGGTTTCCTCACCCTTTTGGGAGACTTCACTGTAGACATTCCACGTCTTTTAATACCATCTGGAGAGTGAGCCCACTATACCTGCTAATCCCTGAAAAACTATGTCCACATTCTACCTGCAGTAGAGAGGACTGACCTTGAGCTCATGTTGAAAGCTCTCAAGACCAATGCTTTTGTTATCAGATTGAGAGACCTTGACGTAGCCAAACAAAACAAAACAAAACAAAACAAAAACATGAGGGAACTTTGGAATCATAAATCCTACTTCCTTTCCAGAGTCCTCAATTGCTTTGATGCTTTGTACCACTCATGAGCCAGAGCCTTTTCTTTGACACATCCTCCATGAGAGAGATCTATTTCCCTTTAGATGGATAAGGAGTTAGGGCTGAGAACTCTTAGAAGACAAGAAACCCTACATTTAGCTATATCACCCAATAGCTTTTAAGTTAGATATTTTGGGATAACTTTTTATTGGCTGATAAGATGCATACAGAAAAAGATGCAGATTCCCCAAGTGTGCAGCTCAGTGACCCTCCATCAACCCAAGAGACCCAGTACCCACCCTGTGAAAATGATGCCACTCAGCAGCAGACCTGCTGCAGTTTTTTCCTGGTGGTCTGTTTGAAGCTCATGACATAATAACTCCCCATGGGAAGCAACACATGCATTTATAGTCAAGGCAGGAATTAGTTTCCTCATCCTTTTGGGAGATTTCATTGTAGATTTTCTGTGTCCTTTAATACTGATGTCAGCTCTGATTTCTAGCCTTCAGTTTTGGAAAATTCTTCCCAAATATTTTTCTAGATCCTTCTGATGGGATGGCAGGCTCTTCTGGAAGGGTTTCAGATGACTGAGAGTTGCACATAGGAAATCTTAATGGTGGGGCCAGGAGGGGCAGCAGAGTGATTACAGAAGAGCTCAACAGCACATCACATAAGTTGTCCTGGGTTTGTTTCCTGAAACTGAATTGACTGTTCCTCTTTGCCATTATGGTTTCTAGACTTGGTCAGCGGGTGGAATAATCTCCAGACTCAAATCATACTCCTTCCCAAAGCCTGGCCACAGAAAGGTGCTAAAGCATCCCCTGCTTGCTGTCCCTGACTGAGTGGTAGGACTGATCCGCATGCACCCTGCACTTGCTCGCCTCGCTGCCCTGCATCCTGCGCTCTGTGCCTGCCTCTCTTTGCCGTGTGCAGCCCTGGTTTGCACCTGTTGCTCTGGGTGCTGTTTGCCCAGGTACATTCATGCTTTCCTGTGGGTCCTCAGTCACTCGCTGCTCAGTCCAGCAATTTCTGTCTGCTCCGTCTGCTAAAGTGCAGCTTTAAAGTCATTTCAGTGAGCAAGATCGGTGGCAGCAAAGGCTTAGGTTAGACAATCTTTTCAAAGACAACCAATTTATTTTTTTTGTTTGTTTGCTTGTGTTTTGTACTGGAGATTGAACCAAGAACCTTTGCACTCAGCTGCATCCCCAGCCCTTTTTATTTTTCATTTTGTTGCTATGTCATTAAGTTGCCTGGGCTGGGCTCAAACTTACGATTCTCCTGCTTCAGCCTCCTGAGTGCTGGTATTACAGATATATGTCACCATGCCCAGCTGCAAAGTTACATTTTGATTTGCCAGAATCACGTGTCACAGCATTATGGTAATGGGTTATGGAAGCTACATCGTGAGGGAGGAGAGCCCAAGGATTTGTGAGATACTATTCACTGCCCAACGAGAACTTTCAGACTTTGATTTTATAGATATTGAGAGCTACAGCCTTTCATTACTGCCCTGAGATGCAGAGAATTAGAATTCATTATCCTAGCTTATTAGAATTAAATAATGTTAAATAATGAATTAGAATTATAATGCATATTAATTCATTATCTACCATTCATTCAGTTCCTTCAAAATAGTTAAATTTTTAATGTAGAACCTTAACATAAGAAGAGAGATGACTGCAGAATTTCTTCACAGCAATACTACATTGCTGATTGATTCAATAATGAGAGCTCAGGTTAACCAAATTGGCAAATTAAAAGAAAATATCACCACCAAAAACCAGTAAAACAGTCTGAGGAGGTGAACACCTGCCCTGCTTTTTGTTATTTTCTAAGCCGACTGAAGCAGCTTCAGGTCACTCACAGTAATTAAGGAAACACCTAAACGATCAGAGTCATTGTGTTTTTAGACAATAGGACAATGAAAGGAAGTTAAAGAATCAGCAAGTAGACTACAGAAAGAAATACAAACAGTAAAAATACATCATCAAAAGAAAAATAAGCTGAGAGTAAATATTAGTAATGGAAAACACAAATATGTGCATGTGTGTGTATGAATAATTGGCTTAATGTATAAAGAGACTATAAATCAATAAGAAAGTATCATCTAAAGGCCAAAAAATGTCAGTATATAACTTAGAGTAAACCAAATATAAATAGTTCTTAAACATATGAAAAGTTGTTAAACTTCGTAACAAGAGAAATACAGCTACGGTGCTCAACTTTCTCCATCTGCAAAACTAATCCAGATGTAAACAGCCGCACATATCATATCGCAAGGGTAAGGCAGATGAGCAGTTCTGCACTTTACTGGAGCAGTGTGAAATAATACAGTCTTTCAGAAGGGGATTGCATTTTGCAACATCTATCACAATTAAAAGTTTATAAAACTCAGTGCTATAATTCCACTTTTGGATTTTCATCATTAGATCTCTTGCATTTTCTGCAATCATGTATATATAAAGGTGTTTATTCCAACACTGTATAATTGATCATCTGGTAATAATGCTGGTGCCTGCCACTGGGAAATAAATTAAATCAGTTACAGTAAAATTGCTGCTATGAGAAAGCTGAGATCTAGAATTGTCTCCAGATTAAACTGTTAAAACTGTTAATGACAAAGTAATGGGTAGATATATAGGTAGCATTGATATGGTATGGAATATGCTGGAAAAATATAGAAAATACTAGTAATGCCCACTGCCTCTGCAAACCAGGATATAAAGAAACCTACTTTTCACTGCAAACCCTGTAGTGCCTTTTGAAATGTGTACCTACTAAAATATTTTGTTTTTTAAAACAGTTGAATATTACAAATTAATCTAATTCATAATGTGAAAATGCTTTTTTGCAAGAAGATGGTTATCTATTTAAATTTATAACAACTTGAAACTAGGCCTTAAATTTTTATAGATGTCAAAAATATCAGTAGATAATTGCTAAGACAGCAGAGCTCCATGATTTAAACTATAGATTCAAAACATTTTAATTTCTTATCAGAATGATTTTAGGAGAACTAATATTTATGTTTCCACTTACGGTTGGGGAATTTTTCCATTATTTAAAAGACATGAGAAAAGAATTGTGAGAATTATCTCAAATGTTCCATCTATTATGCTAAGGAGTAAACAGTTTTCTCTAACTTATTTATTTGGTCAACATCAATAGCTGTTTTTAATAATTCAGGTACAAAATACATGTTAAAAACTTGACAACTCTAGCATCCAAACAGTTAAGGATAATTATACTTTGCTTTAAAAATTATTAGATAGTTTTAAAATTTCATAACAAAAACTGAAGGGCAGATGCATTTTCTTTAGAAATCCCCTAAGGTGGTCAGACTGAAATGTGTTCTAGAATTTCTCATTAAAACCCATTTTTTATATTTTATTTAGCACATTTATTGATAATTGGGATATTTAAAAACTTACATGTAAATACACAGTTTACTACGGTTCAGTGAGGAGAGAGATAAAAAGAATTCTCCAGTCCCCTCTCTTTGCTTGGTAATGCTTAAACAGTGGACAACACTACTGAGAAGCGTGTTTCCATATAGTTATAAAGGGCCAGGTTTTGATCTTCACTGTGAGATGAGAGAAGACTAATTGCGTAGGTCACTGGCTATTTCCCAGTACTACAGCAAGCCCAGTATATCCCCGAACTCCGGCAGGGATCTGCCTGCAGGGTGCTCCTGCGCTGTTGACCCAGTCATTCCTGCACCAGAGACTGCTTCCAGGTCTGCTGTTTTGTGGCCAGAATTCCTGAAGCCAACTTGCTCTCTCTGCAGTCAGATGAGTATGTGGTCACCTGCAGAACCTCTGCTGTCTAATTTGAAAATGTCGTTCAGAGAACTGGGAGCAAAAATGAAGGTCTAGAAAAGTGACCCAAAATATCCCTTGGCAATACTCTGGAACCAAGGAACTCTGAGTGTGCCCACCTGTTCCATACAAGCAGTAACTTTTCTCTGTGCACACTTCCAAATCCCAGTTCTTATAAAAGTAGGCACTTAAAAATACTGGTCAAATACATTTTATATGTTCAGTTTAGTCTAAATAATGAAGGGTGAGGGATCATAATTTATAATCAAATGTGATTTTTACATTATTATTATGGATTGGCCTGTCATTACTTGAATTTTGCTCTCCGGAAAGTAGGAAGCTAGGAAGCTGGTGCCATCTAGTGGTGCCCAGCAGTTGTAAATGCAGAAACAGAACAGTTGACTTTTTATTTACCTCTTGTTCTCTGTATGGAAAAGATGATACTGTCCACGGGGGCAGAATCAGATCATCAAATACTAAGCAAAAAGAATAATGACTAGTAATAGTAATGTGTATTGTAACCAGTAATACATTTTTCATTAAAATTAATACATTAAACTTTAAATAATAATCCATACTTTCATAGGTTATCATTATGCCCTTGTACTCATTCTTTGCAAAGTTTTCAAATTCTGTTTTGCAACTGAGCACTGCTTCCGGAGGTGTTGATGGTTGTGGTTCTGCTAAACAGCCTGTTCATCAAAATCTTCGGGCAGATGAAATTTGCATATTGTATCTTCTCAGAAGTCACTGCTGCTCTTTGCTACAGAGCACGCATTCTCCCACAGGAAGTGTCATCTTTTGCTTTGATCCCATCTGTCTCCAGAAAGGAAAGGGGCTGGAAGCTGAGGCATCTGGATTTGTTCATCCAGGGACACAGCAGCTCTCTGTGGATGTACTACGAAGGCTCCTCCTTGTGACACAGTGCTCTCTGTTGGCTGGCACTGGCACGAGAATAAAGCCCTGAGCCAGCGCCACTGAAAATATGGAGCCCAAATCTCCGAAGATCCCCAGTCTGTTCAGGAGTGAATGCGCTGCCAATGAGAATATGAATTACTTCTGTCCAAGAGTTTAGATTCTCTGGGTCCATCATTACTATTTCTTATTTTTGATACACTGGTATTTTCTTTGGCATTTTTAAAACTAACCTCATTTATTTTAAAAATTTTTCCCAACAAGATTCCCAGGTTAGGTAGTTGCACTCTTGTTCAACTGCAACATGCCTTTTGAAGTTCTCTTACCCTAGAGAATATTCTGGAAGGCTGTAGACCCCATGTGCTACCCTGAGTGGCTAGAAGGCAGGGGTCCCCTCTTCTTGTCTCTGGTGGCAGCTCATCCTGGGGCACTTTTTAACTTTCAGTCTGTCAGGTTTTGTCCTGAGATCTCAGAATCTTCCTGCCTACAGGAAAATCAGGAGTTGAGGTGATATTGCGTTAACCTTAAAAGACTCCTTTAAAAAGCTACTGACAGCCAAGAGTACAATTGCAGGAGGGAACTGAGGCAATGGCAAGGCTGAATACCTTGGGATCCCCCTGTTTCTGCTAGGAGAGGTCTCCCAAGACAGGGCTAGTATAAATTCGAAGTAAAATTATAAATTTGAAGTAAAATCAAAGCATGTCCAGTAGTCTTAAAATATACAAAGGTTTACAAGAGGTAGATTACCATTTGAAATTGTCAGTAGCTGTTTCTGTCTGTTAATGTTAAGGGTTGAGAGGTAACTCATTTTTAAATCATATTAGTTTATACTTCATATCTCCCATTATGAGAAGGGACTTGCTTTTATCCATCCATCCATGTGCTTGTGTAACACATTTTTATTAGGCACCCATAGTGGGCATGGCATACAGTGAATTAAGGTCTGTGTACCCTGGAACTTTTGTTGTCATTCTTGATGTATATCATGGTAACTTCCTTTAAATAGTTCAGTAAGATTGCTGAGATAGTCCATGAGAAAGTGCATCTAACAGTATCCCTTTGATGTGTAAGAGCACATCACGTACCCTTTACCCTCACCAAGAGGGCATTCATGGCCACAGGCAGTGCCACCCTCTGCGTGTGAGAGGAAAGGCAGGGTGTCTGGAGACTCCCAGCCAAGCGGCAGTGGCATGACAGCCCATTATGACTCCATCGCTGTACTTTGTGAGCCCCTTATATCAATAAGGCTGCTGCCTCTGAGGATTTAGCGTGTTCTGTTACCTAAATGACTGTGTAATGTAAAGCTTAATGTTTCTGTTTCTTTAAATGTCTTCAAAATCTGGTGTTATCTCATTTTTGGTAGTCAGTGTTTGGGCAATGATAAGGTAAATGGATGTATAAAGTTCCTACCCAACTCACACCAGAATCAAAACCAAACAAGCAAGCAAACAAACAAAAAAGAGGGTTTGAATTGTGGTTTGGTCTTCCTGTAAACCAAGTAGCAATCACTGGATTCAATGTGGAAGTGAAGGTGGGTCAGGAAAACACAACTCAGGATGCTCAAAAGGGGAGTCCTTAAGAGTATAAGGGGCAGATTTTCCCAGTTATTTCATGATGAAAATCGATGTCAATTCAATACATAATAGAGTAATGGCCAGCAAAGCTGTGCTTTAGATGTGCTTCTCTTACCTGCTATGGCCAGGAGGATCATTTCCCTCTGGTAACCAAAGCATTCCCCATCACAGAGGCCCCCGGGTGCCATGACCACTAAGAATAGCAGTGGCAGCAGCACTGTGGCAGGCTGGGGAAGGCTGGGGCAGCCAGACTTTGTTAGGACTGGTCAGGACTGTCCTCTGCCCACATCTTGTTAGATCTCTCCTGAAGATAAAGACAAGGGTGGAAACCCTGGGCTAGTATGGGAGTCTCACACATGCTTTGGGTTGAGCAGGAAATAGAAGCAGCTGATGGAAATTTAATTTCCCTTTTTAAGTAACTTCCACGTAAAATAAGAGAGATAGACTTAAGAGAAGAAAGTGAATCCAAGAGGAACATGAAAGCCCTGCATGTCTGGGGCAGGCTGATAGGACACAAACTGATGCCTACATGGGCCAGGAACTGCCTGACAGGGAGAGCAGGTTCACTCACGGCAGGTTTGAGGCCCCGGTGGGCTCCCCGAGGACCCAAACAGCTGATCCAAGAATGAGATAACCCATTATTTATTCTTCTCTTCCTTTCTAATTCTTGCCTTTGTCTTCCCTGCCTAAGTTAAACTGTGATATTTGAGCATAAATTACAGTTACTCAGATGCACTCTGTACTGCACGAGTGAGGAAAATGACATGCCGTCGTTCATGTACTTCAGACTCACCCATCCCCAGGGAGCCGGCCAGAGAGTACGGTGTCTTTCAATCCCTATGAGCCAGAACGAGGAGGGCCCTGGGCTCCGGAGAGAGGTGAGAACACACTTCCACTCACTGCGCATTCTCAGAGCAAAGCTCATGGTCACCTCTAAGTCTGTCGAGTTGGCACTCAGGCATACCCAGTCTGTAACAGACCACTGTGGGGATGTCACTGTCCAGTGGTAGGCAGCAGGCACCATGTGTCCATGAATGGGGCAGTTCTGTTGAATGAAATGCCCTTTTACAATAAAGGACCTTTCTGACAAACTGGCAAGGTTGGCAATGTTCATGTTGCTTCTTCAGAATTCTGTGTCTCTAGCAACGTCCTGTCTACCCTCGGTTGAATTTCTGTGAAGTCCATGTTCTCAGAAAGCTGCTGGTGTCCACTCATCAGCAGAGACACAGTTGTAACAGAAGGAATGGCTGAGCTGCTAGAATTCTCAATGCATTTACAGAACTGAACTGACTCTGTGAAGTGCACCCATGCTGACTTGGTCCCAGAAATGGGGCCTTTGGGGGTCTGCTGTGGGTTTTTGAGGTGTCCCCAGGTTCATTTTTATAAGTTTTTTTTTTTTTGTACCAAGAATTGAACTCATCACCCCGCGCTTCCCAAGTTCATTTTTATTCATGAATTTGGAATGTGTTTATTGCTACAAAGCACCCCCCGCAAATAGTGGTAATCAGGTATTTCTCATTTAATTGACTCCTGTGTGTCAGGGATTTGGACTCAGTTTGGGGCCAGTTGTCAGATTACATTTGGAGCCCAAGGGCTGGGGAGATAGCTCAGTGGCACAGCAAGAATCTGCCTGGCAAGCATGAGGTCATGAGTTTGATTTCCGGTACCAAAAAGAAAAAAGAATACAGTAGGAGCCCAAGTGGCAGAGGTGGTGGTGAGGCTGGCGGGGCCTCTCTGCCTCCAGTTGGTACCAGGGCTGTCTGGTTGTTCTCTCTGAGTGGGCTGGTCTGAGATTCTCCCAACATGGCAGCCTCAGGGCAGTGAATGGTACCCAGGGCTCCCCAAGATGCCAGGAACAGTTTTCAAGGAGACAAGACGTTGCGCAGCTGTCCGTAGCTTCACTCTAGAAGTAATGTACATGTGTGGCTTTGGATATACTCTGTTGGTTTGCACAGTTATAAAACCCACCCAGGGAAGGTGACAGAGACCCCACTGCTCAATAGGAGGGGTGTCAAAACGTTTTCAGACCTATTTAAAGTCACTTCAGCCCATGGAAGGGCCCTGTGTCCTGTTGCCACTTCTAGATGACCTTTCCTTGATGCCTCCCAATCCTGCCTCCAGTTCCCAGCTGGGCCCTAACTGTTCCATGTGACCAAGCAATTGTGTGACCACAGGAGGGGTGGAGGGGGAGATCCCTGAGTCTTCACAAAAGACCCAGCCCCAGTGTTGTCTCCTGGCTGTGTTTCAGGCACCCAGAGAGAGCCCCTGCCTATGGACACTGAAGTGTATGAGAGCCCCTATGCAGACCCAGAAGAGATCAGGCCCAAAGAGGTCTACCTGGACCGAAACCTGCTGACCCTGGAGGAAAATGAACTGGGCTCTGGGAACTTTGGGACCGTGAAGAAGGGCCACTACCAAATGAAGAAGTAAGTGAGATGCTCTCTCATGGTGCTCTAAACCTCAAGTGAGCTGTGTTCTAGAAACTTCTAAGGAGTAAGTGGGGTGCTCCCTCATGCTACTGTCATTTTTCATGTCAGCTATGTTCCAGAAACTTCTAAGATGTAAATGGGTGCTCCTTTATGCTGCTGTTGTCCCCATGTGAGCTATGTTCTAGAAATGTCTAAGAACACATCTGTAATGTTCATTTAATCCCAAATACATTTAACCTAATATGACAAAATCATGTTTTATTAACATAATTTTTGTTCATTCCTGGTACACTTACAATGACATCATCTGCTATGTATACTAACAACAGAGAAATATTTTAATTTTTGTGCCTTACAGAAAATTAGGAAATAGAAACAAATATGTAATAAGAACAGCATATTCACACTACCCAAATACAGCTACTCTTAACTAATCTTAGTGTATTTTTTGTTTCTTTGTAAGGCACTTATATGCACACATTCACTATCTCACCAAAATGAAATCATTCAATAACAGTATGATGTTTCTATTTATTTTCTTTGATTACTGTGTTTTATCTTTCTTACCCAGAAAGTTCTTAATTTCAAACCATTTTTTTTTTTGCTTTATGGCACAATTTTAATAATAATGTCATTATACAATAGTTAAAATTATTATATTACTAAACTGTCTTCATATTTCACCTGGTCTTTAAAAAACATCCATGTAGAATGTTCAGTCAAAAGGCTGGTTTCTAAATTCCTTTGTGACAACCCTCTCTTTGAATAAGCATGATACTAATATGAATATGTTTAGGTTAATTGTTCATGCTATTTGAAATTGAGAGAATTTTTGTTAAAAATGTTTTACTTGGAGAGCTAACTTCCATGATTCAGGGGTCAAAAGTATTGATGAGGCCCATGGGTAATAAGCACTGCCTAGTGTACACAAAGCCCTAGGTTCAACCCTCAGAACTACAAGGGAAAAAAAAGAAAAATATGTGGGCCAAAGTATACACAACAACTCTTGCATCAAAGGCTGGCCCTCCCATATGTGTGTGTGTACACACATATGTATATACATACACACACTACACTGGTATAGTGCTCATATTTAATATATGTACAACTATCACATTTTAAAACTATTAATTTTTACATATTTAGGCATTATTATCTCAATTTGTTGATTGCATTCAAATTCCTTGCTTAAATATGTGAGTTAAAATATATATAAGTACAGATACACAATTTTAGCTACAGAGTTTACCTATAGGAGAGGCTATCTATGTCAATTTGGGTCAAAATAATGTCTTTACCCTATTAGGTCACCAAGCCCATAAACACACCCACTTTCCATATACTTCCATCTTCTTTACTGTCTCCCAGCTTCTCTGCCGACTTGTTTAATTTTCTGTGTATAGGTCTTTAAAATCTTGTTAGATACATTCTTGGTATTTAGCACTTTTGATGTTATATAGGGTGTCATTTTAAAATTTTTACTTCTTAATCTGTGACATCACTTACATATGGAATTGTGACTGATTTTAAACATGGATCTGATGGACAGCAATAGTATTGAATTTGCTATTTATTATCAGTTAGGTATTCTCTGTAACGGGTCGCTTGTGAGCAATGACAGTTTTTTTTCATCTTTCCAATCCCCGTACTTGTGTGTGCTCTTCCTTGTCTTACTGTTGCACATGTAGAGCCATGTTTGAAGTAATTGTTAGTAGCCTTATGTCTGATAGCAAGGGGAAAAAATCCAGTATTTCACCACTGGCTATGATGTTAGCCATAGATGTGTAGCTGTTTTGGGGCCTACATTTCTAAGTGGCTTTTAAAATCATGAATATATGCTGAATTGTACTGAATACTGTGTTCCATGGAGATCACCCTGTGGTTTTTCTCATGCATTGTGCTTATGTGGTGGATTACACTGACTGGCTTTCAAATGTTAAACATACCTTCCATTCCTGGAGTAAACTTCCCTTGTCCATCGTTCATTCATTTTATCCTTTTTTTTTTCTTTTTTCATAAATCACTAATCTTAATTTGCTAAGTGTTTCTCTTAAAATGTTATACCTGTGTTCATGCAGGGTAGCAGTTGTTCTCTTGCAATTTCTTTATCTGACTTTAGCATTTAGAATAATGCTGGCTTTGTAAAATGAGTTGGGAAATTTATTTCCTCTTCTATTTTTCTATGTGTTTGTGGTGTCATTTCTTCCTAAAATAGCTGGAAAAATCAAGCATTTTTGATCCCTGCTCCATACCATACACAGTATCAGATTCAGATGGATAGTAGAACCATATGTGAAGGGCAGAACAACTAGGTGTCCAGCAGTGGCATTAAAGGAATATTGCCATGTCCTTGGGGAGGGTGCAAGGCTGGGAATGTTCTGATCTGTCTGTATAAAAGGCCACAGGCTGTACTCCTGTAGTAATACCCACTGAAGTTGTGTGTGCTTTCTGTATGTGCATCAGCCTTCTGTTATTCTTTGATTTCACTTGTTCGTTTTCATCCTCCAGTTTGAGAGTTCAACAACAGAGGTGCATTCTATGCTTTTGGAAACTGTATGGTAGAGAGGTGCAGTTTTTCAGATTATGCTTAGTTAAGTTCTGTTCTTTCACTTAAACCTCGCTTTATCAGAATATTTTCAAGGTGATATTTATATGAAAAGATGAAAAATCTAAATTTTTGCAAATTTTCTGAGATTTGCTTAAAGTTAACAGAGCTTAGCAGAGAAAAAGGTGCTTTTTAAAAACAACTGTGAGCTTTAACAAGGTACACTTTAAATTCCACACCTAGAAACTCATTTTTAATTCATATTAAAAGAATGCTACATTTATATGCTTACACATAATGTAGATGGCAAATCACAAAAAGTCACAGGAATCTGTGTATTTTGGCAGTGTAAGGGTTTAGTTTGGTGTGGGGCATTCTTTAGCACTCGTCCTACCATTATTTATAAGTAGTGGATGTATTAATTTTCTTAGAAGGGAGGGTGGTTGGAGACTTGTTGGTCATTTATTCCATGGCCTCCTCAGATGCATCTCCACGTCCGTTCTGTGGCAGATATTTCCATAACAACATTTCTGCATGGCAATTATATTTAGAAAATATTTTTCTAGGGCTTAGCCTTTTTCTTTTGCAGAGGCGTGAAAACAGTGGCTGTAAAAATACTGAAGAATGAGGCCAATGACCCAGCTCTGAAGGCCGAGTTACTAGCAGAGGCGAACGTCATGCAGCAGCTAGACAATCCCTATATTGTGCGCATGATCGGGATTTGTGAAGCCGAGTCCTGGATGCTGGTTATGGAGATGGCCGAGCTTGGCTCGCTCAACAAGTATTTACAGCAGAACAGGTACATGGAGTGCCCAGAGGACACGGAAGCTGTGCTGTGAGGGCCAGGGTCCCTGTACAACCACGCATCAGCCTGATCTCTATGTAACCTTTCATTCTTGGCCACTTCTGTCCACACTCAGGGACCGGAAGAGAGGAAGGAGAGGAGCATAGCAGCTCTTGTTGCTTAGAAAAAAATCTCCAACCCAGTAATATTATCTTTATTCTCCTGTGGGGCTTACTGCGGGGCATGCATTGCAAACAAACCTGTTGAACACCAGGAGGGTGGTGTTTAGTCTGGACCAGCTGTAGATTAACAGGTTGTCACCACTCACAACTCTAGCTGTTTAAGATCAGGGAATGAGCTGACCCCGGGTGCATGAAGTGCGCAGCTGTGCATTCTGGAATGGACCACTGTCTACTTGGACTGATGACACCCTTATGGCTTTCAGGCATGTCAAGGATAAGAACATCATAGAGCTGGTTCATCAGGTTTCCATGGGAATGAAATATCTGGAGGAGTGCAATTTTGTGCACAGAGATCTGGCTGCAAGGAACGTATTGCTGGTCACACAACATTATGCCAAGATCAGTGATTTTGGGCTTTCCAAAGCTCTTGGTGCTGATGAAAACTACTACAAGGTAGGAACAAGTCAGCTAAGGCTCAGAGCAGCAGGTTGTAAAAACTTAAAAAAAGATAAATGTTCTCTTATTTTATTATGGTAGGATAAGAAGCAGTTACTAGTAACACACACACACACACACACACACACACACACACACACACACACACACTCTTACTAAGCTTTTTCTGTAGAGGAAGGGCTGGAGTTGCCAATGGAGAGAGACTCACTTTTTGGCATATTTACAGTGTATTAAAATATTTACTTTCTTATCCATTCAGAACTGAAAATAAACTTGAAACAGCATACGTGACTATATCGTTCCCAAGTTTTGAAATAAAAATGTAAAGATAATGCATCACGTAGCTGAGACAGAAGTAGTCATTTGTATCATTTTGAGAAACCATATAAGGGCGCCTCCTGTCTCCAGAGCGATGTCCCTGGGCTGCTGCTTCTGACCCAGTGAAGTGGGACCAATTTTCACTGAAATTGGGCCTGGGAGGACGTGGCCCAGGCTGAAGGGTGACATCAGCAAGTGCCATGTTAAGGCTGAGCAGGGAACACCCTGACCCTCACTCCAAAGGAAGGGGTTTGCTATGTTCAGTTTTGATCTTTTTATTATCCTTGGATTTCTTAAATTAGGAATTTAGAAAACTTAAGTACATCTAATATTAATTTTTAAATGACACAGGAAAAGTCTTTGCAGAAATAATTAGCATTGGCTCAAAACGGTAGACAAATATTTAATAATAGCCTGCGAACAGCCAGGGTTTCCTGGTACATAACCAGGACAGAGCCAGGGCCGACTCTTCCATACCCTCTTCGGCTCTGTGAAGCCCTAAGCAGCCAGAGTAGCGGCAGAGGAGATAGCCCGAGACCTCAATCAGTTTGTCCTGAATCTTAAAAATGTACATTTAAATAGTAAAATTAGTGTCTAAGACTTGAAAATTAATAGTTTTAAAATTCATTCCAAATACACACACACACACACACACACACACACACACACACACATGCATGCACATCCACACAGCATTTTCTGGGTCATGATCTTATTCTTTTTAAAAATTGTGGTAACAAAAACATAACATAAAAGCACCGTCACAGTCATCTTCCCACACAGGTTAGCACTGTTGAGTACACTCAGGTGGTCCCCCAGCCCCTGCAGGACCCTTTGCATCTTGGGACGCTGCAGCTGGCTTAGTCTGAACCTGGCTTCCACTCGCCACTCTCTGCTCCCGGCTGCTGCTCAGGAACACAACTGCTCTAGGCAGCTCCTCTGCGTGCGACTGCGCGGCACTGGCCCTTGGTGGCCAGCTTACCTCATGAGCACAAGCCCACAAGTCTCCTCCCTGTTGGAGCGTACACCACTGGCCTCTGCTCCTTCCACCATCCATGTGGACGACCCTTTGTTGGTCTGCTCACCTGCCCACCGCCGCTTGGGTTGTGCCTGTGTCTCGGCTACTGGGGGTGAAGCTGCTAGTGAGTGGGGGTGTGCAGGCCTCATTCTTCACCCACATCGCCGTCTGCTTTGCGTGCAGGCCCAGACCCACGGGAAGTGGCCGGTGAAGTGGTATGCCCCGGAGTGCATCAACTACTACCGCTTCTCCAGCAAGAGCGACGTCTGGAGCTTTGGTGTGCTGATGTGGGAAGCCTTCTCCTATGGCCAGAAGCCCTATCGAGTGAGATGCCTCTCCCTCTCCCCTTCCCCTTTCTTCCCCTCTCCCTCCTCCTTTCTCTTCCCCCTCCTTCCTCCTCTTCTCCCCCTTCCCCTGGCCCTCCCCCTCCTCTTCTTGCAGTGCTGCAGACTGATCCCAGGGCCCTCACACTGAGCTACATCTATAGCCCTTTTTTTTCATTTTGAGACAAGAGTCCTGCTAAATCACTGAGTTGCCCATGCTGGGCTTGAACTTGTGATCCTCTTGCCTCTGCCTCCTAGAGTGGTGGGATTACATGCAGAGGCCCCCACACCAGCTGAGTAAGCCATCCTTAACAGCATGGTACTTTCTTCGCTCTTTGGTCTTTAGGATAAGCACCAGGTTATTTTCACAAGAACCTGAAAATCATGGAATCTGAGCACCTTCTCTGAGTCTTTTGACATGAGGCAATTAGGCTGACCTCAGTTTACACTGAACAGAAAAAAATTACTAACTGTACAGTGTTTTTCCATTGTATATTACTCATACAGATGTGCATAAAATATATACCGAGACCATCCTTCTTTAGAGCTAAGACCAAAATGATGACTGTTGACAGCATCCAATTTACAGCCCAGTTACATTTTTAAGATTTTTTTTAATTAAAAAAGTATGCCAGAAGTGCACAGATCAGGGGTACTGCTGGGTAAGCATAGCAGGAAACTGTCCCCCAGGTGAGGAGACAGGATGGAGCTCAAAAGTCCCTTCCCCTGCCCATTTGGCCCTTTCCCAGTGGGTAGCCCCCGGAACCCCAGCACTGCAGATGACTGGAGCCTACTTTGGGAACTTGCACAACTGAAGTTGCAGTGTGTGCTTCTTTTGTCTTGGGGTGAGCTTGTTACTCTGTTGGCTGATGTGATGTTTTAAAGGCTCCTGGGCATTTTGCATGTCTTAGGGGATGAAAGGAAGTGAAGTTACTGCCATGCTGGAGAAGGGGGAGCGGATGGGCTGCCCTTCTGGGTGTCCACGAGAGATGTATGAGCTGATGAACCTGTGCTGGACATACGAGTGAGTACTTAGCACTTCCTGAGATCGCTAGGAAGGCTCTGGAGGTCGGTGGCATGCCTGGGCATGGCAGAGAAGCATAAATTCTATCTTCCTGTGTGTCAGGAGAGTTCCCTCTCCTAAATAAAGCATGGCAGGGACAGAGATTGACTGCTTTAACATACAGTCATGTCACTTAAGGACAGGGACACGTCCTAAAAATGCTTTGTTAGGCAATTTGTCTTTGTGATCGCATTGTGTGGTACACTTACAGGCTAAGGTGGCAGTGTCACTGGGTGATACAATCTTATGGAACCACCAGATGGGGAGGGCATCACAGAATCCCAGGTGGCATCAAAAGCATTTGGAATGTCTCCCACCTCTGACATGCTAGGCAGCATCAGCTGCCATACCTTAGAAATCTGTAGGAGAAACCAGATATTTTGATGCCATTTGATAAAACTGCCCATTTTGGTTCTACAGAAATAACTCTGCTCCAGTAAAAGCAAGGGCTGTTTGGTGACTTTACTTGCTTGCATTACAGTCAAAATAACAAAAATGTGAAATAACAAAAATGATTTCTCAGCAAAGATAGTCAGTACCTGCAGGTTCTGCATTTACAGTTCAACCAGCTATGGATTAAAAATATTTAGAAAGAAGTACAACTGTACCAAACATATGCAATCCACTCTATAATGCAGTCTAAAAACTATTTCCATAACATTTACACCATATTAGGTATTATGAGTAATCTAGTGATGGAAGCAAACACCTTCTTATTTTATAGAAGGGAATTGAGCACACATGGCTTTTGACTCTGCAAGGGTCCTGGGGCCAATCCCCCATAGCCTGAGAAGTATGCTCCTAGTAGAGAAAACAAGGGAGCCTGCCCATGTGTTTAGAGATCACAGACTGTAAAAACCTTTAGCCCGCAGTTCCCTTATATCAGCACCTCCCTCACCAACAGTAACCCTTGCTATGCTGTGATTAAGTCTGGGTCTTTGCCTTGTCTATGCTAGGCTTTGAGCTTTAGTAAGAACCTGTATCCGTGGCCCATTTTCTTGAGACTTCAACTGGAGTGTAGGGAGGAGAGCTGAGTTATGCCATGTTTTTGCTCTAGGGACATTCTAAGTCTCACATTAGCTGTGTGCAATGCCCAGACACATTCCACGTGCTAGTGTCCAGGGAAGCCGCCTCTGACCCTCGTGGGGGTGGGGATGGGCGCCTGAGCTCTAGTGCAAGCTTCAGCACCTTCGAGGTGGCAGGAGTGTCCTGGAGCTCTGGTTGAAACGCAGATTTGGGTGGTGTAGACTTGGGGGTACTCCCAGGGAACACTTAGTGCACCAACGGGTGGAGCGGGCCTGTGCTGGCCCCTTCCCTAGCTGGTGTTCTGCGCAAGGGGCTGACCGCTGTTTGCTTTGCAGGGTGGAGAAGCGGCCTGGCTTTGCGGCAGTGGAACTTCGCCTGCGCAACTACTACTATGATGTGGTTAACTAGCTGCTCCTGGCCTGTCTGCAGCTGCCTTGGGTCAGATGCACTCCGATGCACAGATTTTCAGGGTTTCGTTCTTCCTCCGCCCGAGGCAAAGGCCAGCCCTGCTTGGATCCCCGGACCACGCTGGTGCCTCAGTGAAAGCTGCCCGCCTCGGCCTCCCAGAACCAGCCCAGCCTGGCACATGGGAGTGGGACTGAGACCTGGGGTTCCCTGGTTGTCGTGTCTGTACAGTATTCCTAACAGATTATTTTTAGGATCAGTCTCCAATAGTTCTGCTGACCCGCGCCCGGGGCTAGGTGGTTCGGAGCGTTCCAGACTCCACCTTTCAGCATCCATGGCAGGACCTGGGGTTGGCAGGGGCAGATCAGGGTCCCTGGCCAGAGAGAGGCTGCTGGGTGGGGGAAGTGCCGCCAGCTTAGATCAAGCTTGAACAGTGCAGTTTCTAACTAAACAAGCTGCCAGTTAATGAAACAGGAATGATAGGGAGCCTGGATAGTGTGCATGCTCTGCAGCAGGAGCCCAGAAACATCGGGTGCATTGAGCCCTGCTTGTGTGTGGCCTAGCGTGGTGGCATCCCGGAATCTGCCTCCTGCCGACCGCCTTGAGGACTGCCCTCATGTACCCTGTGCCCTTGCAGGGACCAGTGACCCAGGTCCCGCACCACCGCTGGGGAGGCCAGCTGCCCCTCCTGTGTGACCAGTGCTCTCACTTTACTGGCAATCCCCAATGCAGGCCACTTCCTCTATCTTCTGTTACTATCACTGACACCTGAGCCTGGGTAATTTATAAAGAAAAACTCTCACACACTTCTGAATGCTGGGGAGTTCGCATCAAGATCTGGCGCCTCGGGCAGTCCTCCCATGTCATAACATGGCCAGGTCATCACAGGGGCACAGTGAGTGTGCCAGCTCCCCTCTTCCTAGCCATCTGGAGGGGGCTTCCAAAGAGCGCACCCGTTCAGGGCGAGACTACACTGGCCCTTGCCACACATCGGCCTTGCCAAGTGTGACTTGTGCAAGACCTGGAAGTTCTCTTCTGGTCTCTGACTGTTAGCTAATCCTTGACTTAGTGTTTCTTTATGCAAAACGTTGCCCCTTAATAGGAGTTTTGTTGGGGCTCTGGAAAGTTAAAAAGTGAATCAGCCATCATTCTTCTCTTGGTAGACTCATCAAGCTTGGGCGCATCCCATCTTCACACCTGCGGCACTTTAGCTTGCATAAGACCCCTAACATCGAGACAAGACAGGAGAAAGGGGGTAGTCAGGACCTTTGCTGAGCCAGAAGATGTGAGTCATTCATAGAACTTGGGTCAAGGGAGTTTTATTAACCATTCACACTTTTGAATTGCACTGGTGGTTTAACTGTTCTGTTAAAGAGCGGGTCCCTGTGTGTTGAGCTCACTGAGCAGATCCTAGAAACACCTTTAACGTCCTGCAGTAACCAAGATTAGTGGCAAAATCTCAGCTGTGAAGCTGTCCTGAGAGGAAGGGTTGGCTGTGCTGCCTGGGGAAAGTGGCACACAGGTCCTGAGGAGGACCCAAGGCCCAGCTGGCAGGCCTGCCCCTGGAGCATGCTTGCACTAGAGCCCATGGACCCCAGGAACAGGGGCGGGGTGTGGAGTGGTGGAGCCCTGCACGTCTTCTTTCCAGTGTGATTTTCCAGCCTCTTCGGCAGCAGCCTTCCTCAGAGTCCAGAACACTGCTGGGGCCTCACCTCCTTTGAGAAAGCTATCCAGCTGGGCCTTGGGCCCTTCTGTCCTCTTCCCCAGGATAGGCAGGCTCCGGGGTGCAGAAGTCCCAAGGTAGCCAGCGTGAGGGGCCTCCCTGGGGACCCACTCTCCTATCCCTGGGGTTGCACTGAGGGAAGGCAGCCCCACTGAGAACGCTCAGACTGTGAGAAGGACCGAGTCCCCCTACAGTGTTTGTCCTGGGCGGGGTTTCCACACAGCTCCAGGATGTGCTCACCTCTGTCTGCCTGGCTCTGCTTTGTCTGAGTGCCTCCCCTGGCTCCTCAGGAGCAGGGTGTGGGGGACTGTCCAGCTGCCTGCAGTGTCCCGCTGTCTGCAGATGCCAAGACACCTCCTCCCACGCAGTACCGAATGTGTCTGTGGCAAAACGGCATCCGTGCATGGTTAGAATCGTGGTGCGTTGGCATCTGAGCATGCCTTGCCCCACTCACCAGTGCCCAGCCCCGCTTTGGTCTGCTGGACAGCGACTTCACACGAATGTCACCATGGCTCCCTGATGTGTCCTCTGGGACTCCCCCTTGCAGGGGTAGTCACCAAGTTGTCCCTCTTCCCTGCCACCATTAGCAATGCAGCATGTTTTGCATTTATTTCAGAGCTATATTTTGTCACTGGAGATTTTTTCAGACTGATTTTTAATAAAAACTTTAAACTACCTTTGTGGTTACTGTCACAGAAGCTGTTAGGGTTGGATGGGTTACACTGTCAGTGGGGTTAAGCAGTTGTCAAATGTGTCCTGTGAACATGCTCTGAGAAAGGCTGCGCCCCCTGCCTGCTGTAAAAGGCAGATAGAAGCAGCTGAGCTCCAGCCACAAGGAAGAAGGAGGCCACATGGCAAGTCCCACCCTGCCACTGAGAAGGCCCGTGACCTGTCCTTGGTCTGTGGCTCTGGCATTGAAGACCTCCAAGCCCACACCTTACCCTACCAGAGAGGACTAAGGAAAGCCCTGATGGTACTGAGTGGCATGGGGTTCCAGCTCTGCCTTCTCTCCGGAGAATCTCAAGAGCATCAAGGCAGACGGAGAGGCTTGCAGAGCCCCCATTTCCTGTTCTAAAGAGATCTCTCTCACACACAAGCACACACATACATGGATGTACACATGTATACACATGCACACACACTGCCTTGTGCACATGCATAGTATACTTGCATGCAAACACATACACGTGAATACACTGCACAAGCATGCATGCATGTATATATGCATGCACCTATACACAATCTCATACATGCATACAGAGACACATGCACACATATACATATCCACAAATACACATGATACATACATACAAATATACCCATTATACACTAAATGTGCTGCACACACACACCATACACACTGCACAAACATACACAGCAGGCAGTATGTGTGTATCACATCAACACACACACACCACTGAATCTACTCTCAGTTACCACCTAACAGTCAGTGTGGGTCAATCCTCTGCCCAGAGACACCTCCTGTCTGTGTTCTGCTTCTTTCCTGCCCTCTCCAGGCCAGGCCTTCAGGGACACTCGCTCAACCCCAAGCTCCGTTCCTGGGCCACAGGCTCCTCTGCTCCTGTCATTCAAGCCAGTGGTTGGGGAGCGAAAGGAGGGTCGGGAATGTCAGACTGCCACAGTCCTGGGATGGAGGGTGACAGCGGACAACAGGGAGGACGGGTCTCCACGATCACCTCAGACAGGTGATGAAAGCCGAGCCTTGGAACCTGCTGTGCCGGGGAGGATGCCAAGCTGGCACGTGTAGGCACCATGCGTGTCAGTGGACGCCTGGGTCTGCGCGCCCGCACTGTGGGCTGCCCTGGGAGAGACTCTGTGAACTGCAGCGGTGCTCTGGGATGGCTCAGGAGATGGTGCTGAATTTGGGCTTCCACACTTGCACTGCCAGGAAGGGGCACCCTGTGACGCTGGAGTCACCATGACAGCAAGAGATGGAGTGGTCTCTCCCCGTGGCTCAAGCAGGGAGAGCTTGTAAGACACGGGCTTATCTTTTACATACAAGGGCGGACTTCAGTACTGACAAACATGTTCTCCTTCTGGGCAGGAAGAAGTTATTTGAGGGACCAAAGAGGAAATTGTGAGCTTTTGGATTATCTCTTAGTTTGGGATAAACACTGCAGCATTCCCTTTCTTCCTTGGGCACCAGCTTGTGGAAATGTATCTGCTCCAGTGAATACAAAGTAGTGATTTTCTCAATTTTTCACATTTTGAGACAAGAGTCTAAGTTGCCCAGGCTGTCCTGGAACTTCAGATCCTCCCGCCTCAGCTTTCCGAGTTGCTGAAATGACAGCAGGCACCACACCCAGCCCAGACAAAACAAGTCTTCTGCGTCAGTGCCGTCTGGGGTTGCAGCCATGGGGCCTCCCTGCCCTGCCTTCCCTGCACCATCACCTATGGCTGGCAGCATCGCAGAGCAGGCTGACAGCATGCTCTGAAGTGTTTTCTGGTGAGCTGGGTGTGGAAGGCAGAGAGAGACCATGTAGCAGTTTCCTGGATTAAGGAACTCTGCAAATGCAATGCAGTCCATTCCCACAGCAGCATCGATCACAACACCCATCAGCCTATGCAATGCTCCAAGCAGTGCCCCAAGCGGTGCCCCAGTGAGCTCTTTCTGCGTCCGTGTGCAGCTCTGCATGTTTCCAGTCTCTGGGCACAGGACACGGTGCAAAGCGAGTTCCTCTACACCCTGCAAGCGGGAGCTCTGGGGCTTGAGAGGGGCTCTTGAGGGCGGGACACCCACCCAGATTTGTGCACAGGATGCAGTTAGCCCTCCTTGCTCACTGAAAAGCAGCCCTGTCCTGCCCGCCCTCAGGGCAGTGCTCTGCGCTTGGTGCTGCCAGCTTCTGCCCCTGTGACGAGGCCTCAGAAAATCGATTAGAGGAGGAAAGGCTCATTGCAGCTCTTGGTTTCAAAGGCTGCGGTCCATGCTCTCCTGGCCCAGTGCTTGGGGCCTGGAGGAAAGCAGCGCATCCCAGTGACGGGCAGGAGGCCGAGAGGCAGGAAGGGGGGGAGTCCCAGGGTCCCTGAGGGCATGCCCCCAGCTCCTGACTTCCTGCAGTGGGGCCCACACCTCAAGGTGCCAGACAGCCCAGCACCCTAGGTGGGGCCAAACCTTCAGCATGTGTGCTTCGGGGGATATTCAAGGTCCAGTCTGTGGCACAGGACGTGCTCTTTCACGTACACACACAGGTACGCATACACACAACACATGATCTGTCCTTCGCAGATCGTGTGTACTTCGATGTTTCATTTCCAGACATCTGTCTGAGGCCATTTACTATTTCATGGTTTTGCAAAATTAACCTGTAAGGAAGCGTGTTCTTTCAGAGTCACCACTACAAAGCCCAGGGGCACACCTGTGGTGACTCAGCCACACCCTCGTCGTCGTCGTCGTCGTCCCTAGGCCTGTCCCTCCGGCCACCCCCCAATGGGTCCAATCTGCCACTGTGAGGAGGGGCCGAGCTCGAGCGAGGTTCTGAGTTGAGCATTATTGCAGCAAAGCCATAGCCCTGAGGACCTAAGGCTTCGGCTTGGGAGGCCTTTAGGTGACTCAGTTTACCACGACCGTCTTCACGCTGTGGAACAGTGAGTGAAGAACGCAGCCTGTGCATAAACAACTCCCCCATTGGGAAGAAACAAAGAGCCAGGGTCTGGCCCTCGTCTCCTCTGCTTCTGTCAGGGGACCTCACGCAGTGCCCTAAACCGCGGGCTGCCTGAGCTTCCGTCTTTTGTACCTACCTTCCGTGTCTGCTCACAACATTCTTTCCTGCACATGATGGGGTACCGGGCCTTACTGTCTCCCCGCAACATCATGCTCCTGTTCTCCCAGCACTTCAGTATAGCTCACGAACAGGACTTCCGGGGCGCAGTCCGGGCAGCACACGCATCGCCAGGAACCTGCTCTTCACTGCTCAGGGCCCCGAGCGCAGGGTCTGAGCAGGCCACAGGGACCCTGGCTCTCTGTGCTGTCTTCAGGGAGTTTGTGTGTGTCCGAGTGTGTGGTGTGTGCATCTGTGTGTGTCTATGTGTGTGCGCCTGAGTGTTGGGTGTTTATATCGTGGATTATGTGTGGTGTGTGTATATATGTGTGTGGTATGTATGTGTGTGCATCTGTATGTGTGTGCAATGTATCTATGTGTCTGTGGTGTGTATGTGTGTCTGTATGTTTGTGTGTATGTATTCTGTATTGTGTGGTATGTGTCTATATGTGTGGCTGTGATGTGTGTGTATGTGATGTGTGTATATGTATATATCTATGTGTGCAGTGTGTGCCTACGTATGTGTGAGGTGTGTTTATACATATACTTATATGTGGGTAGTGTATGTATATTGTGCAGTGTATATATATATGTGTGGTATTTGTATCTATGTGTGTGTATTTGTGTGGTGTGTGTGTATGTGTGTGGTGTGTATCTGTGTGTGCATCTGTGTGATATATATGTCTCTGTGTATGTGTGTGGCCTATGTATATGTGTGATGTATGATGCGTGTATGTGTGTGGTGTGTGTATCTGTGTATGTGTGTGTCATGCATATATATCTGTGTGGTGTTTATGTCTGTGTGTGGTGTATATATGTCTGATGTGTGTCTGTGTGTGTATATATCTGTGGTGTGTGTATGTGTGTATGTGCAGGGTGTGTGTCTATGTGTGTATGTGTGTGTGGTGTGAGTCTGTGTTTCTGTTTGTGGTGTGTATATATCTCCATGTGGTGTTTATGTCTGTGTGTGGTGTGTATATGTCTGTGGTGTGTGTCTATGGATGTGTGTGTCTGTGTGTGGTATACATACATATCTGTGGTGTCTGTATGGGTCTGTGTGTGGTGTGCGTATATATCTGTGGTGTGTGTCTGTGTGTGGTGTGCATATGTCTGTGGTTTGTGTCTATGTGGTATGTGCATGTATGTGATATGCATCTACACGTGTGGTGCATGTATGTGTGCTGCATGTGTCTAAATATGTGGTGTATGTGTGCTATGCGTGTCTACAGGTGTGCCTGTCTCCAGAGGTGTGCAGGATAGGCAGGACCAGGTGGGGCATAGCCTGGCAGGCGCACGCGCAGTGTAGCAGCCCTGCTGGCCCTACCCCGCTGAGGGGGCGCCCCCTGGTGGACGGCCTGGGAGTCTTCCCAGTCTCATGTGCTGGGCCCTGCTTTCCGCAGCCAGAACAGAGCGGGCTGTTCACCAACATCGCTGGAGCAGACCTGAGCACCTGGGTGCCCTGGCTCCTTTATGTGGGACTTGGGCCACGTGGGACTTGGGGCGCACAGGACTTGGGCATGAGGGACTCAAGGGTCTGGGACTCGAGAGTGCGGGACTTGGCATGGGTGTGGGATTTGGGCCTGTACCACCCCCTTGTTTTCCTCCACTAAGGATCAAACCCAGGGCCTTTACCCTGAACTACATCTCCAGCCCTTTAAAAATATGTATTTTGAAACAGCATCTTGCCATATCACTAAATTACTCAGGCTGAGCTTGAACTTGAGATCCTCCTGCCTCAGCTTCTGGGAGTGCTGGGATTACAGATGTGTCACCACACCCAAAACTTTCAAAAGCAAACACCAGGAGGTGGACAGGAATAAAATGCAAGGGAAAGGAGGGCAGAGGGAGGGCGGCCAGGACACCAGGTCCCTAGCACAAAAGGTGGTGGGCTGACCAC